CTTCCAGTTCTGGAACCTTTTCTGATTCTTCCTGCATAACTGGTGTTTTGACCGTAAGCGTTATGGAAGATTTTGCATTTGCTATTTCAGGGGATTCAATATTAGCTACATTTGAAACTTGTTCTTCTTTGTGGCTACTGTTCATGTTTTGGTTCACCAAGCTATTATCGACTTCCTTGAACATATTTTGACCCCGTTGGATTATGGTGCTGGAATCAGTGGTATCACTGATATTTTGTAATACATTTGTTGGCGCAGTTTGTGATTCCTCAATTGACTTCTCTTGTCGCTTCTCAAAGCTACGTAACTTACGCTTAAGCTGGGTGATAATTCGCTGCACTTCCCACAACTGTTCTTCTCGTTTTTTGGAAACAAATCCAGCATTCATTTCGGCATGAATCTGTGTAAGCAAGCTTTCTTGCTTCCGTAGCTCTATCTGAATATCTTCCGCAGTTTCGGGAAGTTTTGGGCTAGATGGTGTTATTGGTGGTACGTATCTGTAAAAAAAAGAATCGATTGATATAGCAAAATATATTGTCCTTCGCACTTCTTACTTAATAAATAATTTTAAAAATCTATTAAAGCCATTAGGCTTGCGTCTTGGCAACATTATTTGAGACGAGGAATTCTAACTGATCACTTTATTATGTTACACATAGATTATCTTATCATCAATTTGCTAAAGAATACTCATATCTGATTTACTTACTTGATAAGGGAAACGTTTGTAAACAAATTTCCGGTGTGAGATAAAAATGCAACTAATAAACGATGTGACATCTGCATAGGCGGACTTAATAGCATCGCCAATGATTCAATCGTTAATTTATTGTGCTTGCCATGTTTAATTACCGAGTCAAAATGTAGTATTATCCAAGTGAGTAGAGTTCTGTTGCAACTGGGTAGTAGTTCAAGTAATTTTTTAAGCTCATCTTGTTTATTCTGGGAGTTTATTGATGCTGCATCCTCAAAATTAGATATTAAGTCTGTGGTCAAAACTGGTTCTGGCAGTTCTCTAAAAGTATGAGCATATGATAATAAATCAAATTTTGACAATATTCGCCTTTTGTTACCGTAAAAATAACTTTAATAAAGCGCATGCTGTTGCTGTATCGAATTCATCTGTATCCGTTTGCCGTTCTCTGTTATTATACAGTCTTTTAAAGTATTGTACGCGTGTCTTCAATGGTTCTACCTTGTATATTTGATCATTCTTCAATGCGTGCTCCTGAAGGTAATCAATACAATCGCGCACAACAAGAGGCAAATTAACACCATCATGGCAACGACTCCGTTCAGTAGCTAGACTAATTGATACACCAAAAACAGGCTGAACATCGCCCAATTCTAATAATTCTTCAGAAGCATTGCTGGCCTGTTTAACTTTCTTGTCTTTTTTTTCCTTTTCTTTATCCTTGTCCTTGGTTTTCTCTTTTCTTTCCTTTTCCTTACGTTCTTTGTCTCTTTTTTTGAGTTCCTTTTCTTTTTCAGTCTTCTCTTTTTCCTTTGGCTTTTCTTCCTCCCGGGACTCCCTCTCTGATTTATCTTTATCACGCGACTTTTCTCGTTTCTCCTTGCTTTTGGACGAACTGAATTTAAACGTTTTCAACTTTTTTGACTTCGAAGGACTTCTAATTAAATATTCAATGTCATTATGATTACTTGAAAGAACGTTAACTTACTTCGCATCCAACTCTTCTTCTGGAGAGCTTTCACCTTCTAAAGCTGCATATCCTCGGTCTTTGCCCTTTTCCTTTTTATCTTTACGCCTACCAATTAATAGATCTTTTTTACTTACTTTATCGTGTTCACCCTCACTATCTGCAGATAAGTTAATTATTTATTTATGTATCTATATAATATAATATATTATTTAAAAAGTGTATATACACTTACAATCACTATCCTCTTTGCTCTTTTTAGATTTTCCATCCCCACCTTCAGAAGCATATAAACCAGGAAAATCTTTCTCAACATCTGGGCTGTCGAAATCCATAATTTGTTTATGGAACCACTATTATATTTATCAGAGATAATTTATTCCTGATATTTATTAATAAACAAGAACTTTTTCATTTACAATACAGAGAAAATCTACATAGTTCTCAATTGTCAACAGAACAGCTGTCAATTGGTAATTAAGCAAAAACAACCTATAACACTCTTCTAAACGCGCCCCATAGTCTCTTAAGAGAGTAAATACATATGGTATTATTAAATGAGGTTCACATATCTGCACAAAAAGTTTTTTTTATAAAATTTTAATTGGAGAATTTATAAGACATTATCTCAGTTATGATCAATCGTAAAGATTATTGTATAGCTAATGGGATTAAAAATAATTTACTTGTTATATGATTGAGTTTAGAAGATGGTCGGTATTTTTCTTACATTAGTATGCAAGGGTTAATACGACGAAATTAACAGCTGTGTTTTGAGTGTATTACAATAAGCATTTTTAGATTGGTTGCATTTATTTATAATAAATAGTATAATTATAGTATTGTACAGCGTTTTATAAAAATTTAAATTAAAATGCTATTAAACATAAAAACAGATCAACGGAGGCATTTAGAATTATTACGCCATCGTGGTTCAGAGGATGTTGTGGAGCTATGCAAAGCAGCATTTGAGTACTTATCTCTTGGCCCGAATACTCAACGTTATCAGCATCTTGCTGAAAAATATTGTACAGATACAGGTGTGGTACAAAAAGCAGTTGAGGCACTAATTGCCTTACTTATTAGTGCCACTAAAGGGAATGCTAGTGAGTCCGACCTGCAAAGTTTGCAACAGGAAGAAGGGTATAGTAATGACGTCATGCAAGTGTTGTCACAATTTGTGAGCAGCAAACGACATTTTATTGAGGGGTCCATCAAGTCTGCTAATATTCGAGCGTATCGTTTGGTTAATATTGAATGGCGTTTGGAGGTGCGTTTAGCTACACGAAGCCTCTTACGACAAAGTAGTATACGAGTAACAATGAAGTTATATTTACACACCGAACCGAAAAATGAAAACAGAGACCTTCTCGAAGATGGAGATCAGGCGATACATTCGGATGAAAGACGAAATCGCAAGGATCTGTTGGTGCAAACCGATTTGAGTAGTTTAGTCCATATGATACAAGTATTAGAAACAGCTCTTTATGAATCGAAGAGCAGACGTATACGCAACATCGTTAGTGGAATTCATTGATAAGCAATATTAATATTATAACTTTAAAATCTATTTTATTAAAATTAAAATCTATTATAACAAATAGATATATTTTTACTATTCCACATTTTTCAGTAGTTCTTTGGCAGCTGCTTTTATCAGTTCTTTCTTTTTCTGCCTGCTTTCGCGCTTTTCCTCTGGCGTTTTCTTCAATCCCTTTACCCGTCGCGTTTGTATCTTCGTTACATTTTGTTTTCCTAAATGGACACGTCCGTGTGTATTTCCCAATTCATCATATGTAACGTTCTTCTTCTTTTTCGGTTGCAATTGTTTTGGTTGTTTTCTGGCCTGTTTGTAAAGATCTTCCGAAGCGATTTTCGTTCGACGAATTGAAAAGTCGGCGGAAGGGCCAATTTCTACAAGTTCAATACGAGGTGTCTTTTGACCCGATTTTTTTAACATTATTTTATAAGATCTCATTAATATGGTTAAATCTTCCGTACATGTGAAACTGACCACATGTTCAACTCCCTGTAGACGAATAGCGTCTACTTTATCTTTATGGAATGTATCTATTAACAAGTTTCTAAGACGACGTAATTCTTCAGTCTGATTCCAACGTGGCCCATTGAAAATGAGGCATGGTTTTACATTTGTACCGATCTTTTCTGTTTTAAATTCAGGCATTGAAGTGTAATGCTTTATGCCCAATTCAATCATATCCAAAATTTCGTTTTCGAAAAGACGTCCAAGAATTAAATTATTTGGCCTCTTTTTTGATGTCGAGCCGAATGCAAATAGCGCACAGTCATTTTTCATTGTCAAACTATAGAAAATACGTTAGTAAAAGTATGGTAATTGAAAAAAAAAACTCACAATTCCAAAGAGGATGGATCATCGAAGGGAGTAATGTCGTTTTTACGATTTAAAATTTTTACGAGAGGCTTACGTAGCTGCTGAAGATCCTTCATGCAAGATTTTATATCACCACCGCATTTGCGACCATCAATGAAAAGCATAGTACGTGTTGGCTCTATAAGCTGCGGTTCACGGCTCAACAATATTTGCTTTCCCTTACGGGTTTTCGGTTTCCTAAATAATGGTAATACAAATGTTAACATAAATAATAAAGACTTTTTCCATAGTCTACCTTATCCGCATTAGAGACATCTTTAGTTCTTATTTATATTTTCCACAAAAATTAAAGTAAACTAAGTGCTATCATATACCGTATAACTACACGTGTTGGTTGATTTTGACAACTCAAGATACAAATATTTTGACGTTCTCTGGCCTCGTTCGTTTTTAATGTTTAGTTGAGTATAAATGCAGAGAACGTCAAAATTACGACGATGTCTGGTGAAGAGAAAATAGAAATGTTAAAGCAAATATGAACAAGTTAGGAAGCCATAAGTTCGGGTGAAACCGAACATTTTACACTCATGCAACTTGCAAAAATCATAGCGAAAGAAATTCCTTAAGATGTTTAACGTCAACCAAAGGATTGGAATATGCGCAATTATTAATGTAATACATATGTATATTATATTATTATACCTATGTATTATATGGGAGTTCGGGTAGTATCGACCCGTTTTTATGTATTAACTATTGACATGCCACATTAAGGTTCCTCATATACAATTACCAAGTCAACCATCGGTTTGAGGTGATAAGCAGAACCGTTAAGTGAACAAAACTATTATACTATTTAGCAACATGTTACAAGAGTTTAAAAATTCTGTCTTACCAAAATGATAGAGTTATTGTAATCCGATCATTCTTGTTAAAAAGATAAAAGAGATATATATTACCTTAGGAAGTTTTTTTTATAATATACAATGGGAAAGACCTCAAAAGATAAAAGAGATATATATTATCGTTTAGCGAAAGAAGAGGGCTGGCGTGCTAGAAGCGCATTTAAATTGCTACAGATCGATGAAAAATTCCACATTTTGAAAGGTTTGTATTTGTTTCATTACAAATATTGGTTACATACATTTCTTCATAAGATGTAACACGAGCCGTTGACTTATGTGCTGCGCCGGGAAGTTGGACCCAAGTACTTTCAAAACGTCTATACGAGAATCGCACTGACAACGAGGAGGTAAAAATCATAGCCGTGGATTTACAAGCTATGGCACCCTTGCCTGGTGTTACACAGATCCAAGGCGATATAACTAAATTAAGTACAGCGCAGGCCATAATTGATCATTTCGGAGGAGAATCACAAAAGGCACAATTAGTTGTTTGTGATGGAGCACCTGATGTTACAGGTCTTCACGATATCGACGAATACATCCAGAGTCAGTTGCTACTAGCTGCACTTAGTATTACTACACACGTGTTGATGACAGGTGGAAATTTCGTTGCTAAGATTTTTCGTGGTAAAGACACAAATTTGCTATATTCCCAACTACGCATTTTCTTTGAAAAAGTATCCATAGCCAAACCAGCTAGCTCAAGAAATTCTAGTATTGAAGCGTTTGTAGTGTGTCAAAATTATCGTTGCCCAGACGGTTATATACCACAAATGATAAACCCAATGGCTGATAACGTACAAGTAATAGTAGATGAAACAAACTCAAATGTAAATCACAAACTTATTCCGTTTGTTGTATGCGGTGATATGCGTGGGTTCGACTCAGATATGTCGTACAGTTTAAATGTAATTATGTGTTATATTTTGTAACTATTAATATTAACACATTTTTTATCTGCAGCTCAACGAAAACTCGGAATACACATATAAGGAGGTAGTACAAAAACCTATTTCTCCAGCTTACAAGGAAATTTTAGAAAAACTTAAAAATTGTTCGATCAAACATTCAGCCATAACTGTTAAACATGAAGATGGAGAGAAATAAAGCTATGAATGTTTCATTCTAAAAATTGTAACAAAAATGATTTGTATATAACAGGAGGAATGCTTATGAAAAGATCATTGGCGTTAAAAAATGCCAAATATTCACTATTTTTACAGCGAGGGATTTATTTGCTTGACAGAAGTCCAGTTCCGGCGATTAATTCTTCAACATTCATAAATACATAAGTATTAACGGTACCGCAACAAACATTTTATGGGATGTCGGTAGCTCAATAAATTTTTTCTGTGGTAACGTTAAGGATCTCAAAATATTTTCTTACTGTAACTTTTTTCTTGGTCTGAGAAAAGAAAAAAGTCTAGACCTAAAAATTCGGAGATGTGGAAGCAATTCGACGTAATTTTGACACAGGGGTTAACAAAAAAAAAAATTGAATTAAGTTCAATAGCTCTTTAGCATGGATTTTTACTAATTCTCCAGCCTGTGAGATATATATTTATATAATTTGATTTAAATAATTTCATGATATTCTCATAATTTTAGAAAGATTTAATAAGAAAGAATTCTAAATAAAAGATTTTCGGAAATTATAACGATTTCTATCTAATTGATACATTACTAAACTTGTCGCATCAGTTTGGTGCCATAGTTATCTCAATTCTATGGGCTTATTGGCTGATTGGTTTGCTCGGCTGGGTTTCATTCCATATTTATAAATTTTATTTAAGCTCTTTGGGAAGTCGGGAAGTAAGTTATTAAAATTTTCTACAGGCTGCGTTTGCTGTTCCGTCCAAATCCCATCTCCAGTAAAATGAAATTCACATTCGATTAAATAAAGAATAAGTGTGAGCATTTCATTGTTATCCAAATCATAAATGTTATCCACCGGCAATTGTAATCTCTCAAGACATTCTGGTTCATGAAGTTCGTTAAGTTTTTCTTCAATTCGTTGTCTACACAGTATTAAAATTATTTCATTAATGAACATTAAAAACACTATTTTGTATAAATGGCTTACATGGGATACAAAAGTAGATGTATATTATTAGATATTGCCGATATTGGGAATTTCTTTGAACGTAAAAAATCGTAACATTGCTTAACTTGCAATACAGGAATATGGCACCAATTGGGATGTCTGGAAAGTAATGCGCGTATATAGTTTTCGTCTTTCTTCATTATATTTGCCAGGTAAACTACAACATCTCGGCCTTTTGTGCGATCTACACCTTCACGTGCAAACCTGAAAAAACGTTTTAATTTAATGTTAAAGAATTGTAAAGATAATATACAAACTTAGCGAATTTCTCCGATCCTCCAGACAAAATGTGTAGCGAAGCGCAACGCACTTTTAGTTGATTCAAGTATTCCAAACGTAAGCGAGCTTTGTTTTGGTAATGTACAAGACGCAACACTCGTGGATTGGTGCCCAAAACTTTGAACTCATCAATTGAATTCAAATCTTTCAAACGCTCCAGTACGGTATCGGGTCCAAGTGTTAGAATTTCTAAACATTTCATTATTGCCGATTCATGTATGCCGAAGACTTTAACATTTTCAAGTGTTTTTAATAATCCATCACAGGAAGACATCAAAATCTTTGGGCGTCGGTATACAATTTCACGCATATCTTTACCGTCTATCCGTTTTATTTCGGTAATTATTCTACACATGTTGTGGGCATCACCATGAAGTAAAAAAGCATTCTTTATTATACGCTCTTTTGGAAATTGTAGATCTTCGAGTAGCACCTTTACTACTGATTGAACCGATTTGAAACTGCGATGCCGAACGCGATAATACACTTTCCACAACTTTTTTATATCATTATCGTTCATATCCAAAACTTGTCGGAGATAAGCATTTAGTATGCATTCCCGCATATGTTTTATATGCATACCCTCGTTCAGTTCAGTAAATGTTTTCTCAGATAATTCTACGTTACTAAAAGAATTACACAAGTTCTGCAAAACATTCACTTCAAAGGGTATATAACCATATGATTTCAACATTGAGACAGTTTTGTTAATAACTGTTACAAATTTTGATAGCAATATAAGAGTGATGGGTTGAAAACCACATTCATGAAGTACTTCGTAGCGATTCTCCAATGTAAGGGCATTTTGATGTAACACAACCGGCTTTTGGAGTATGGTTTCTACATCAAAATTCATCTGTTTTAAAGCCTTTACCGTATTTATGGCATCTTGCCTTTTTATAGCTTTCAATTCCGGATACTTGATGAGTATGCTACTCCATTTACGATGGTTAGACCCTAAAAAATTGATATCATTAAGTTCTGAAAATTAGCACCGTATGTGTTGTAAACACTAACCTATTTCCCGTTTTAAAAAGTGGGCGTTTATGGTTTCCTCCACAGGAACATCTAGGCCATTAGAGTTATCTGGTGGAAGTTGGATGTCCGAGTTTTTACTTTTTTGTGACTTTGTCGCATAATTTCTTTTTCTCGTAACAAACTGCTTCAATAATTGAGACGTTACATTTTGTTTGGTGCGCAACATAATACATTTATGTCACTTATAATTATATATTTTTTTAGGTTTGAAAATCAATATTGAAAAATATATTATATATATTTCTTTTGTTTTGGCTTAAATGTCTTCAGTATAAAGCCGAAAGGAAAGCAGCTGTTCGCTAATTTTTTATTTACATATGTTTATTCATTTTCTATTTTATCACTAAGGTTATGTGTAAACCGGTTGATGGATTAAAATTTTTGGATAGGAAAATATTTCATTCCTTTGTTTTTTCTGAATATATTAAATGGATACATATGTATGTAAGAGATAATTCTTGACATTAATGTTTTTTTGAATTTCATATGGCAAAATTTCTGACTCGAAATAAGACACAAAATTTACCGGTTGGCACACAGCCTAAATTCTAATTCAAGACTTGGTCAACTTCTCTTATCGTTATTTGAAAGTTTGCCCTATTTTTTTTAAATTTAATTTAGTTATAATTATTAGATGCTTTAGCACAATTAATATTAATAGT